GCAGGATGGATCCACCACACCGTGACACCATCACCACCAGCCTGAACCATTGATACAAGGCAGGATGGATCCACCACACCGTGACACCACCACCACCACCACCAGCCTGAACCATTGATACAAGGCAGGATGGATCCACCACACCGTGACACCACCACCACCAGCCTGAACCATTGATACAAGGCAGGACAGATCCACCACACCATGACACACCACCACCAGCCTAACCCCCCCACTGATACAAGGCAGGATGGATCCACCACACCATGACACCACCACCACCACCAACCTGAACCATTGATACAAAGCAGGATGGATCCATCACACCACGATACCACCACCAACCAGCCTGAACCATTGATACAAGGCAGGATGGATCCACCACACCGTGACACCATCACCACCACCAGCCAGAACCATTGATACAAGGCAGGACGGATTCCACCACACCGTGACGCCCCCACCACTAGCCTGAACAATTGATACAAGGCAGGATGGATCCACCACACCGTGACACCACCACCACCAGCCTGAACCCCTGATACAAGGCAGGATGGATCCACCACACCATGACACCATTCCCACCAGCCTGAACCATTGATACAATGGGCAGGATGGATCCACCACACCATGACACCACCACCACCAGCCTGAACCACTGATACAAGGTAGGATGGATCCACCACACCATGACCACTGACACCAACAATGGCTATACCCCCACTGACGCCAACAATGGCTATTCCCCCCACTGACGCCAACAATGGCTATTCCCCCCACTGATGCCAACAATGGCTATTCCCCCCACTGATGCCAACAATGGCTATTCCCCCCCTCTGACGCCAACAATGGCTATTCCCCCCACTGACGCCAACAATGGCTATTCCCCCCACTGACGCCAACAATGGCTATACCCCCCACTGATGCCAACAATGGCTATTCCCCCCACTGACGCCAACAATGGCTATTCCCCCCACTGACGCCAACAATGGCTATTCCCCCCACTGACGCCAACAATGGCTATTCCCCCCACTGATGCCAACAATGGCTATTCCCCCCACTGACGCTAACAATGGCTATTCCCCCACTGACGCCAACAATGGCTATTCCCCCCTCTGACGCCAACAATGATTATTCCCCCAATGATTATTCTCTGATGCCAACAATGGTTTTTCCCCCTCTGACACCAACAATCGGGCACTATTCCTCCCACCAAAACCAATAATGGGGCATTGCTCGCTCTCATGGACATTGGGTCATTTCCACTGTCCAAAGTCCAGCTCCCTTAAAGCCTGAAGGACAGTAAACTGATCCTTTGGAAAGTTTGGAGACCCCTGAGCTAGGTGGACCAAGTTGAGCCTTGCCCCTGTCAGTATGATTGCCCCCCAGGGGGTCAGGGTAGAGCTTCTTTGGGAGGTGGACTAGTGACACACCCTTAAGTGGGCTTCTTTTGTACACTCAGGTGTTCAGATTTTGCGCCATCGCAGGTTCTGGTTGTTGGTGGATAAAGCCCATGTGATGGAACGAGGCATGTGAATATCTTCTGTTCTACGAAGACTTCACTGGGCTATACAGATTTATCTAGAAAAATAATGAAAAGACAACAAATTCCCTCTAAATGTATCTTGTCTGCTGACTCCTACACAACTCCATCATTCGCATTCGGACCAGCTGGGATTAGAAGATGGAATAACTCCGCAAGGGCAATTAAAGAGGTGACCACAGACTATCAAGTCCATTAGCGCCGTTAGAGAGCCAAAATAATGCACAATCAGGAAAGGAAAAACATTCGGCGCGTACGTTTTCTCTCACCGCCGGGCCTCAGAGACTTCGCAGAGCTCAATAAACAGCCTTCCCTGCAGAAAGCTTCAATCTGACTTCACGTAATTAAAATGAAGAGACTCACGAAGCGCTTCGCTAATCACAATATCATTTATCAAGCTTGGCGCAAAAGGTGGGAACGGGCGACCCTCCGAGGATGAAACCATTTCAGAGGAGAACATGGAGGGAAGAAAGAGGGTCACAAAAGGTCCAAGAAGCCCTCTAATACCCAACAATTAGGGATGAGCAAAACCGGTAGTGTTCTTTTCACGGAAAGTTTGATGACAAGTCGACATTTTGGGAAATTTTTTTTCCATTTCTGCTAGATACAGGATGTAGAAGTCAATAGGGAAATGGAGAACAGCCCAAGCTGTCCATAAATGTCATATAATTAATATAATATTGTGACAACTGCTGCTTATTGCCCACATTATGCCCCAATTGCCTGCACATCGTGACAATTTCCAATTTATTGTCTAAGTGTTGCAACACTTGCCCAATTATTGCCTACACATTGCCACAATTACCCATTTATTGTCCACAGGTTTCCACACCTGGATTTATTGTCCACACCTGCACGATTTATTGTCAACACATTGTCACAATTGCCCATTTATTGTCCACATATTTCTTCAATCTACTACACCTGCCCATTTATTGTCAACATATTGTCACAATTGCCCATGTATTGTCCACAGGTTTACACACTTACTCATTTATTGCCCACATATTGCCTCAATTGCCAATTTACTGTCCACATATTTTCTACACCTGCCCATTTACTGTCAAAATATTGTCACAATATCCCATTTATTGTCCACATATTTCTACCCATTTACTGTCATTGTCACAATATCCCATTTATTGTCACATATTTCTACACCCTGCCCATTTACTGTCAACACATTGTCCCATTTACACCTGCCCATTTATTGTCCACATATTTCTACACATTGCCCATTTATTCACAATTGCCCATTTATTGTCCACAGGTTTCCACACTTACTCATTTATTGCCCACATATTGCCTCAATTGCCAATTTACTGTCCACATATTTCTACACCTGCCCATTTATTGTCAACACATTGTTGTCACAATTGCCCATTTATTGTCCACATATTTCTGCATCTGCCCATTTACTGTCAACATATTGTCACAATTGCCTATTTATTGTCCACATATTTCTACACCTGCCCATTTATTCTCCACATATTGTCACCTGCCATTTATTGTCACATATTGTCACAATTTCTGCTATTTTGCCCATCCACATATTTCTACACCTGCCCATTTATTGTCTGCATATTGTCACAATTTCCCCTTTATTGCCCACATATTGCCACACTTTCTGATTTTATTGCCCACATATTGTCAGACTTGCCCATTCATTGTCCACATATTTCCACACCTGCCCACTTATTGCCTGCATATTGTCACAATTGCCCATTTACCGTTCACACATTGCTACACTTGCCCATTTATTGTACATATATTGCCATGCCTGTCCATTTATTGTCCGCATATTATCACAATTGCCCAAGTATTGTCCACATATTACCATAGTTGCCTATTTATTGCTCACTCACAAATGCCCATTTACTGTCCACATATTTCCACACCTGTCCATTTATTATCCACATATTGTCTTAATTTCCCTTTTATTGCATACCTATAGTCATAATTGCTTGTTTGTTGTCCACACGTTGTCATTATAGACATTTGTGGACCACATAATGTCACCATTGCTCCTGTATTGTACACATGTTGTCATAATTGCTTCTTGCTGTCCACGTATTATCACGACTGCCCATTTATTGTATGCATATTGTCACCATTTATCATCTGCATATTGTTACAAGTGCTGGCTTGTTGTCCACATATTGTCAAATTGCCCATTTATTGTATGTTCCACGGCCCACATACTGTCCGCCTCAGAGAGACCGGATATAGTGAATGCGGGGTCCGGGGAGACCGGATATAGTGAATGCGGGTCCGGGGAGACCGTTATAGTGAATGCGGGGTCCGGGGAGAGACCGGATATAGTGAATGCGGGGTCTGGGGAGACCGGATATAGTGAATGTGGGGTCCGGGGGGGGAGAGTGGATATAGTGAATGCGGGGTCCGGGGAGAGCAGGATATAGTGAATGCGGGGTCCGGGGGAGAGGGGTCCGGATATAGTGAATGCGGGGTCCGGGGAGAGCGGATATAGTGAATGCGGGGGTCCGAGGGACAGCGGATATAGTGAATGCGGGGTCCGGGGAGAGCGGATATAGTGAATGAGGGTCCGGGGAGACCGGATATAGTGAATGCGGGGTCTGGAGAGACCGGATATAGTGAATGCGGGGTCCAGGGAGACCGGATATAGTGAATGCGGGGTCCGGGGAGGAGAGCGGATATAGTGAATGCAGGGTCCGGGAGACCAGGATATAGTGAACGGGGGTCCGGGAGAGCGGATATAGTGAATGCGGGGTCCAGGGAGAGCGGATATAGTGAATGCGGGGTCCTGGGGAGAGCGGATATAGTGAATGCAGGGTCCGGAAGACCAGGATATAGTGAACGGGGTCCCGGGGAGAGCGGATATAGTGAATGCGGGGTCCGGGGAGAGCGGATATAGTGAATGCGGGGTCCGGGGAGAGCGGATATAGTGAATGCGGGGTCCGGGGAGAGCGGATATAGTGAATGCGGGGTCCGGGGAGAGCGCCAGATATAGTGAATGCGGGGTCCGGGGAGAGCGGATATAGTGAATGCAGGGTCCGGGGAGAGACGGATATAGTGAATGTGGGGGCCGGGGAGAGCCGGATATAGTGAATGCAGGGTCCGGGGAGAGTGGATATAGTGAATGCTGGGGTCCGGGGAGAGCGGATATAGTGAATGCGGGGTCCGGGGAGAGCGATATAGTGAATGCAGGGTCCTGGGGAGAGCGGATATAGTGAATGCGGGTCCCGGGGAGAGCGGATATAGTGAATGCGGGGTCCGGGGAGACCGGATATAGTGAATGCGGGGTCCGGGGGAGAGCGGATATAGTGAATGCGGGGTCCGGGAGAGCGGCGGATATAGTGAATGCGGAGTCCTGGGTCCGAGACGGATATAGTGAATGCGGGGTCCGGGGAGAGCGGATATAGTGAATGCGGAGTCCTGGGAGAGCGGATATAGTGAATGCGGGGTCCGGGGAGAGCGGATATAGTGAATGCAGGGTCCGGGGAGAGCGGATATAGTGAATGCGGGTCCAGGGAGAGCGGATATAGTGAATGCGGGGTCCGGGAGAGCGGATATAGTGAATGCAGGGTCCGGGGAGAGAGCGGATATAGTGAATGCGGGGTCCGGGGAGAGCGCGGATATAGTGAATGCGGGGTCCGGGGAGAGCGGATATAGTGAATGCGGGGTCCGGGGAGAGCGGATATAGTGAATGCGGGGTCCGGGGAGAGCGGATATAGTGAATGCAGGGTCCGGGGAGAGCGGATATAGTGAATGCGGGTCCGGGGAGAGCGGATATAGTGAATGCAGGGTCCGGGGAGAGGGATATAGTGAATGCAGGGGTCCGGTGGGAGAGAGACCGGATATAGTGAATGCAGGGTCCGGGGAGAGCGGATATAGTGAATGCGGGGTCCGGGGAGAGCGGATATAGTGAATGCAGGGTCCGGGGAGACCGGATATAGTGAACGTAGTGTCCGGGGAGAGCGGATATAGTGAATGCGGGGTCCGGGGAGAGCCAGATATAGTGAATGCGGGGTCCGGGAGAGCGGATATAGTGAATGCAGGGGTCCGGGGAGACCGGATATAGTGAATGCGGGGTCCGGGGAGAGCGGATATAGTGAATGCGGGGTCCAGGGAGAGCGGATATAGTGAATGCGGGGTCCGGGGAGAGCGGATATAGTGAATGCTGGGGTCCGGGGAGAGCGGGCGGATAGTGAATGCGGGGTCCAGGGGAGAGCGGGGTAGTGAATGCGGGTCCGGGGAGAGGATATAGTGAATGCGGGGTCCGGGGGAGACCGGGATATAGTGAATGCGGGGTCTGGGGAGAAGGGATATAGTGAATGCGGGGTCCGGGGAGAGCGGATATAGTGAATGCGGGGTCCGGGGAGAGCAGATATAGTGAATGCGGGGTCCGGGGAGACCGATATAGTGAATGCGGGTCCGGGGAGAGAGCGGATATAGTGAATGCGGGGTCCGGGGAGAGCGGATATAGTGAAAGCGGGGTCTGGGAGAGAGAGCGGATATAGTGAATGCGGGGTCCGGGGAGAGCGGATATAGTGAATGCGGAATGGGGGGCCGGGAGAGCGGATATAGTGAATGCAGGGGTCCGGGGAGAGCGGATATAGTGAATGCGGAGTCCGGGGAGAGCGGGATATAGTGAATGCGGGGTCCGGGAGAGCGGATATAGTGAATGCAGGGTCCGGGGAGAGCGGATATAGTGAATGCAGGGTCCGGGAGAGAGCGGATATAGTGAATGCAGAGTCCGGGGAGAGCGGATATAGTGAATGCGGGGTCCGGGGAGAGCGGATATAGTGAATGCGGGGTCCGGGAGAGCGGATATAGTGAATGCGGGGTCTGGGGAGAGCGGATATAGTGAATGCGGGGTCCGGGGAGAGCGGATATAGTGAATGCGGGGTCCGGGGAGAGCGGATATAGTGAATGCGGGGTCCGGGGAGAGCGGATATAGTGAATGCGGGGTCCGGGGGAGAGCGGATATAGTGAATGCGGGGTCCGGGGAGAGCGGATATAATGCAGTGAATGCGGGGTCCGGGGAGAGCGGATATAGTGAATGCGGGGTCCGGGGAGGGGCGGGATATAGTGAATGCGGGTCTGGGGAGAGCGGATATAGTGAATGCGGGGTCCGGGGAGAGCGGATATAGTGAATGCTGGGTCCGGGGAGAGCGGATATAGTGAATGCGGGGTCCGGGGAGAGCGGATATAGTGAATGCGGGGTCCGGGGAGAGCGGATATAGTGAATGCGGGGTCCGGGGAGAGCGGATATATAGTGAATGCGGGGTCCGGGGAGAGCGGATATAGTGAATGCGGGGTCCGGGGAGAGCGGATATAGTGAATGCGGGGTCCGGGGAGAGCGGATATAGTGAATGCGGGGTCCGGGGAGAGCGGATATAGTGAATGCGGGGTCCGGGGAGAGCGGATATAGTGAATGCGGGGTCCGGGGTTCAGTTACACTTTAAATACTAAGAAACGAAAAAGACTTTTCCCTCCTCCACAAAGAATACTTCCACCAATTTCCTCCAGCACACTACTTGTGACCTTTCCTCTTACCTGTGCAGGAGAAGTCGTCCACTCGGGTGTATCCCGAGACGCAGTCGCAGCGGTAAGATCCGGGTAAATTGACACACACGGTGTTGGCTTGGCAGTAATGCATTTTGGCGGCACATTCATCAATGTCTGCAAGGAGACAGAACAGAGTACACAACCGTTAGCCAGGAAACAATAAACTGTACGGCTTCATTTTCATTAGCGTTTCCCTTCACAAAGCTTTGTTACCACCACAGTCCAGAACACAACCAATCACAAGAGGGTAATTCAGACAGGACGAGCCGATCATCGAATGCAGCATGTTTTATTAATCTATAATGGGGCAGGACTGACCATTTGGAAACTCGGGCACTGCCCGAGGGCCCGGGGTCAGTAGGGGCCCCATGAGATGCCCCTGGTACCTTTTTCAAAGGCTTTTTTGAGTTTGGGCAAGGACACAGGGGCCCCATGATCCCCTATTGCCCGGGGGCCCCATGAGTTGTCAGTCCGCCCCTGAAAGGGGGTCTCCAAACTAAAAAAAAAAAAGAAGTGAATAAGCATGATAAGCAAATAGATAAAGAAGATCAGCAAAACAAATCAAAGTCACCCCTTATATCAGAGTTCCCACCAGTGGCCCCATTACATCAGAGTTAACATCATAGCCCCCCTTACATCAGTGTCCCTATTAGAAGCCCCCCACATCTGTGTTTGCCTTAGGAATCCCCCCCTCGCATCACCGTCCCCCTTACATCAGTGTCTTCACCAGAGCTCCCCCCCCTCCTTCATCTGCCCTGGGAATCCCCCCCGTTCTTATTAAAGTCTCCCCTTACATCAGAGTTCCCTTCAGAGCCCCCCTTAAATTATTATTATCAGCATCAGAGTCCTTCCTTACATCAGGGTCCCCATCAGACTCTCCCTTTACATATGGGTTCCCAGCAGAGTCCTCCCATACAGTAAGGTTCCCAGCAGATTCCCCCTTACATCAGGGTACCCATCAGAGTCCCCCTTATATCAGGGTCCCTATCAGAGTCCCCCTTCACATCAGGGTCCCCAGCAGAGTCCCCCTTACATCGGGGTCCCCATCAGGGTCTCCATCAGAGTCCCCTTACATCAGGGTCTCCATCAGACTCTCCCCTTACATCTGGGTTCCCAGCAGAGTCCTCCCATACAGCAGGGTCCCCAGCAGAGTGCCCCTTACATCAAGTACCCATCAGAGTCCCCCTTATATCAGAGTCCCCATCAGAGTCCCCCTTGCATCAGGGTCCCGATCAGAGTCCCCCTTACATCAGGGTCCCCACCAGAGTCCCCCTTACATCACGGTCCCCATCAGGGTCTCCATCAGAGTCCCCTTACATCAGGGTCCCCATCAGACTCTCCCCTTATATCTGGGTTCCCAGCAGAGTCCTCCCATACAGCAGGGTCCCCATCAGAGTCCCCCTTACATCAGGGTACCCATCAGAGTCCCCCTTATATCAGGGTCCCCATCAAGTCCCCCTTCACATCAGGGTCCCCAGCAGAGTCCCTCTTACATTGGAGTCCCCATCAGAGTCCCCACCAGGGTCTCCACCAGAGTCCCCCTTACATCAGGGTCCCCATCAGAGTCCCCCTTACATTAGGGTCCCCATCAGAGTTCCCCTTACATCAGGGTCCCCATCAGAGCCCCCTAACATCAGGATCCCCATTAGAGCCCTCCCTTACTTCAGGGTCCCCATCAGAGTCCTCCTTTACATCAGACATTAATGGCGGTGTGTTGAGTTATTTTGAGGGGACAGCAAATTTCCATGTTATACAAGCTGTACACTGACTACGTCACATTGTAGCAAAGTGTCATTTCTTCAGTGTTGTCACATGAAAAGAGAGAATCAAATATTTATAAAAATGTGAGGGGGGGGACTCACTTCTGGGAGATACTGTATATATATATATTTATTTATATTTTAATATATTGAATACGGCCAAAAGTGTAGTATTTCAAATATGTGGCAATATATTTGGGAAGAATATTTTTAAAATATATTTTTCTTCCATGTGGACTGGCTCTGTCTGCACAGAATAGATTTTTAATTTATCGTAGACTAACCTTTGTCCATCTTTTTATCCCGGAGGAACTCCTGAAGTAATTTTCAGGTTTTTGAGAACCCTTTCAAAATCCAATTCATTGGGGGACAAATGGAAAAATGCCCCTTATGTTGGTGGTCAGGAGAAAGAGTGCAACCCTTAGACCCCATGTACACAGGACACTTCTGAACGATGGAAACTGACTGCCGGAAAGCGTAGGTTAAAAAACATCTGTTTAGCCGCGCTTGCATACCATGTTTATGCGCGTTTAGAATCGTTTTTTAAAGATAAGCACAGGAGAACCTCCCAAATGCCCAGAATGCACTGAAAAGTGGTAAATTATTAACTATTTCAGACGGTTTCAGAGAAATACAGAGAGTAGAAGCAGAGACAGCAGTATGTGTTGAGATTAGCTTAGGTGTGAGTTGCTCATTAACATTTCTTTTGTTTCCAAGGGTGGGAAAGGTGTCTGGTGGGGGGAGTCATTATGGTCACCTGGCAGGGGGTCTTCAGGAGGAATTTCAGGTGTGAATGGTCATTAACATATCTTTTGTTTCCAAGGGTGGGAGAGGTCTGAGGTGTGAATTGGTCATTAACATATCTTTTGTTTCCAAGGGTGGGAGAGGTCTGAGGTGTGAATTGGTCATTAACATATCTTTTGTTTCCAAGGGTGGGAGAGGTCTGAGCTGTGAATTGGTCATTACAATATGTGACAAGCTTAGTAGGAACATCCTGTGTTCAGTGTTTTGTCCATTTGAGTGCCTTGGAAATGCTTGCACACATTTTTCATGATGAAAAAAGGTTCTGAACAGCATGGGGAACTTAAAAAATTTTTTCAAACGCAAATGCTTATAAACACAACTTGCCACGTTTACAAGCGTTTTGCGTTCGAAACACTGAAATCAACTGCTGAACGCAAGTTTTCTGCGTTCAAAAAAACGACTGTAAACTCAAATGCCTGTAAACAACTGTAAATGAAAATGTGTACATGGACACATAGGAGAACATTAGGGTGAGTTTAGGGGCTGCTGAAAAAAAAAAAAAAAATAAAAAACGCTGAACAGTTCCTAAACATGAGTTTATTAGCTGCAGTGTACATGAGCCCATACAGTGATGATCAGAATGCCACACCTAAAGACAGCTCAAAACATTATTGATGGCTTTGCCTAGTGGCATTGGCCTATGAACTATGTAGGCACCATCGAAAAGGAAGTCAACCAACTACAAGGAACCCCTAGCAACCTCTGGAGGAACATCAGGAGTCATTGGCCCTAGAACTTTGTAGGCACTACGAATAGGAAGTCAACGAACTACAGGGAACCCCTAGCAACCTCTGGAGGAACATCAGGAGTCATTGGCCCTAGAACTATAGAGGCACTATCGAATAGGAAGTCAACCAACTACAAGGCACCCCTAGCAACCTCTGGAGGAACATCAGGAGTCATTGGCCCTAGAACTATGTAGGCACCATCAAATAGGAAGTCAACCAACTACAAGGAACTCCTAGCAACCTCTGGAGGAACATCAGGAGTCATTGGCCTTAGAACTATATAGGCACCATGGAATCGGAAGTCAACCAACTACAAGGAACCCCTAGCAACCTCTGGAGGAACATCAGGAGTCATTGGCCCTAGAACTATGTAGGCACCATCGAATCGGAAGTCAACCAACTACAAGGAACCCCTAGCAATGTCTGGAGGAACATGACTCCTGACAACCAACTACAAGGAACCCCTAGCAACCTCTGGAGGAACATCAGGAGTCATTGGCCCTAGAACTATGTAGGCACTATCGAATAGGAAGTCAACCAACTACAAGGAACCCCTAGCAACCTCTGGAGGAACATCAGGAGTCATTGGCCCTAGAACTATGTAGGCACTACGAATAGGAAGTCAACCAACTACAAGGAACCCCTTTCAACCTCTGGAGGAACATCAGGAGTCATTGGCCCTAGAACTATGTAGTAGCCACTATCGAATAGGAAGTCAATGAACTACAGGGAACCCCTAGCAACGTCTGGAGGAACATCAGGAGTCATTGGCCCTAGAACTATGTAGGCACTATCAAATAGGAAGTCAACCAACTACAAGGAGCTCCTAGCAAGCTCTAGAGGAACATCAGGAGTCATTGGCCTTAGAACTATATAGGCACCATGGAATCGGAAGTCAACCAACTACAAGGAACCCCTAGCAACCTCTGGAGGAACATCAGGAGTCCACAGAACCTTGGTTGAGAATGGTTGTTATAGACTAGGTGAGTGAACCAACTTCCTGCATAATACGTGCAGAGAAAGCATAAAAAGAGCAGCAATTTTTCAATTTATTTATGGTATTACCATCCTAATTACACTGCCAGCT